GAAAACTATCTCAAGCAAAGGTCATCCATGGATTCTAAACCATTTAATGTAAAGTTGGTGAGAAACTGAGTATTCGCAGGCTGCCAAAGCATCAAGCTGCAGATAATCTGTTACTGAAGGGAAAGGCAGTGGGTGGGTAGGGGGATGCCATTGTATAACTGAAGGATCAGACTGTCACCAACTTACTGAACCATTTAAAGACAGTCAAACATTAGGCGTTATTAATATCACAATCTATGAAGTATTTTGCCATTAATATTTTACCTGAACATAATCAAGCCTTTAGATCTAACTCCAAGTATATAACAAATACAGGAAATAAAAAACAAATAATATGAAAAAGCAATTATATAAATCCAAAAGATAGGGTCTTCTAGGGAATGGTCTCATCAATAAGTCAATGACATTAAAATATGGAGAGGGTGGGAAACTATTCTAAATTAAAAGAGACGAAGAATCTTGGCAATTAAATACAACATGTGGTCCTTGGTTAGACCATCATTTGAACAGACCAGCCGTAAAACGCATTTTGGGGACAATCTGGAAAATATGAATACAGTCTAGGTTTATTATACGACAGTAATCTAGTTAGGTATGAAATTGATCCAGGCAGATCACCTGAGATCAGGAGTTCGAGACCAGCCTGACCAAGATGGAGAAACCCCATCTCTACTAAAAACACAAAATTAGCCAGGCATGGTGGTGTATGCCTGTAATCCCAGCTACTTGGGAGGCTGAGGCAGGACAATTGCTTGAACCCAGGAGGCAGAGGTTGCAGTGAGCCGAGATCAAACCATTGCACTCCAGCCTAGACAACAAGAGCAAAATTCTGTCTCAAAAAAAAAAAAAGGAAAATGTCCTTCCTTTCACAAACTGTGAACTATAGTATTTAGGAAGAAGCTTTCATGATTATTTGTAACCTAAATCAATATTTTTAATATGGCAATATGTTAATAAACAATTCTAGGTGATGGGGTTGTAAGAATTCGTTATACTACTCACTCTTTTCTACATTTGAAAATGTTCATAATAAAATGAATAAGAGAGAAACAAAATGTAAAGCTAAATTAGATCACATCACTCTACCCTATTCAAAAGCCTCCACTGGCTTCACTCAGCATCAAAATCAAAGACTTTGCACTGGCTCTGTGATCTCATCCCCGGCATCTCTAACCTCATTTTCTAGTGCTCTGTTCAATCACTCTGATCCATCCACACTGACCTCCTTACTGTTCTTCAACACATAAGGTATGCTCACACCTTAGGGCCACTGCATTGACTGTTTCCTTGGCCTAGAGGCTCTTCCTCAGACATCTACACAGTTTACATCCTCATATCCTTCATGTCTTTGCTTAAATCTCACCTTTTCAATGAGTATACACTATTCTAGTTAAAATTGCAACCTACCACTCCTGATCTTATCTTGCTCTATATTTTTCCCCATCTCATTGATCATTTTCTAGCATAATATATAATTTACTCAGAATCTAAACATCAAAAAAGAATTTATTTACAGATGTAGCCTTTGCACCTAGTACAGTACCTTGCACAAATATAGATGCTCAATCTATATTTCTTAAATTAATGAATTTGGAGTATGGATAACAGGGCTGATCCATGGTACTACAATTACTACTATATAGTATTGTGTTTTGAATCCAGAAATCAAATGGCAATATGGTTGAGAGCTATCACCTCCTCCTCCTTTCCTGTAACAAGAACTCCAGACAAGTTTGTCTTCTGGTACCTTCACACTTTCTTGTAGTCCCTTCCTGTCCTTTGTGCTGTCTCTCATGCTGTCCCCAAATTCTCTATTGTACAAGTTGAGTATCCCTTATCTAAAATGCCTGGGACTAGAAGTATTTTAGATTTTGGATTTTTTTAAGATTTTGGAATATTTGCATACCGGTTGACCATCCCAAATCTGAAAACCCAAAATCCAAAAAGCTCCAATCATCTCCTTTGAACATCATTCAGTGCCGAAAATGTTTTGGATTTTGGAGGTTTTTTGGATTTGTGATGTTCAACCTGTGACTGTCGTTCATACCATAATATAATACTAGCATTCAGGTGAAAAAAGAAGTCTGTTAATCCAAATAAGATCCAGCTGGTCAAAAAGTTGGGGAAAGGAGATGTGAACATTTTCAGGTAGTGATGAGGAAGGGGGATGGTGGAATTAGGCCAGGGACTAATACACAGACTGACCATACATGCCTGGGAGCCAACTCCCAAGGTTACATCACCTAAGCAGTTCCTGATTTTCATAGCTTTCCTTACTTTACCTTTAAGGCCACAATTTTTCAAAAATATTTGACATTTCTTCCCCTACCCTCAGTGACTTTAAGACTGCTGATTCCCACAATGACAAGACAGTTCTGACAATATGAACAAAGGGATGGTATTACACAGAGCATTATGAGGGTTAGTCATTCCAAGAACAAGTTATTTCTAAATTAAGTATTTCTTGACTATCTCTTATATAAGAAAAATGGTCGCTGTCTACAAAAATAATGGATTATTCAAATACTATCAACCCCCAGGTATATTTTAATTCTCAAAAAAGTTACATTATTTATAAGGAATGTTTTCATACAAAAAGATTTTTAATTCCAAAACTCACATTCAACTAACTGGATGTTACACAGCAGGTCATCATTATTCACTGTCATATGCTCTCAAACCTACAGTCTCCAAAGCCCTAATTTATATTTTAATTAATCATGCACAAGTTAAATTTCAGCCAACCTGTCACTTAAGCAGTTGGCTTCATGTACTCAAACCCAAAGGAATCATGGTGGCTCTTAAAATCTGATGAAATGCTTGAATCTCTCTTTTTCCAATATGAAGAGTGGACTTTCTGGGTGCAGGTAAGAAAAGAAAAAGCTGCCATTGCTTTTTTTTTTTTTTTTTTTTTTTTTTTTGAGACAGCGTTCCACTTTTGTTGCCCGGGCTGGAGTACAGTGGCACGCTATCAGCTCACTGTGACCTCCGCCTCCAGGGTTCAAGTGATTCTCCTTCCTCAGCCTCCCGAGTAGCTGGGATTACAGGTGTCCGCCACCATGTCGTCCAGCTAATTTTTTGTGTGTTTTTAGTAGAGATGCGGTTTCGCCATGTTGGCCAGGCTGGTCTCAAACTCCTGACCTCAGGTGATCCACCCACCTTAGCCTCCCAAAGTGCTGGGATTATAGGCATGAGCCACCGAGCCCAGCCGCCACTGCTCATTTTTAAATGAAGGTATTGTGCTCCTGCCCTAAAACCCTACCATGTGTCTTGTTTGGCCTTGAAAAGCAATATGCTTTTAAGCTCTGGTCTGCTTTCTCTTCTGCCTGCTGGAGCATCCCAGATCACAGAAAACAAAAGATGAGCAAAGGCAGTCAGTATTATATAATTTAAGAATACTAAAAGGAATTCTCTTATTATCCTGACCTCACATTCCAAGAGTACAGAAACAGACACTCCTCTACACCAAAGTAACCTCAGTGCCTAGCAAAGAGCATAATCATAAACATTCAATGAATGCTTTCTGACTGACTGACTATCCCAGGCAAGTAAACAAATTAGCAAAGCTATATCAAAAGGTAAATGGAGGCCTTGTTAAAATTCTCCATGCTATCAAGAGAATTATCTTCCTAAAACATAAATCACTCATCTACAATTAGTGAACATTTACTATAGGCTAGCCAGTAAACTAATCCATAGGAATTAGTAACATAGAACCTGCCTCATATGGATTACAATCTGGAAAAGGAGATAGATACAGTTTATTCTAAGACAATCTGAGGGGTGTTAGAAGTTATGGGTCAAGTTTTATGAGAACACTGATTAAGAAGTGACTACTTCTGCATGGGTAAAGAGTCAGCTAAGGCTTTACAGAGCAAGTAGCATTTGCTCTTAAAGAATAAATAGGAGTTCACAAGATGAAAAAAGGAGAAGTGAGAAGGTTGGGTAAGAATAGTTTTTTAGTTATAAGGAACAAAGATTCATAGCAATATCAACACCTAAGTTCAGGAAATGGCTAGTCACTTAATATGACTAGAATATAAGAAAGAATAACTATGAAGATAAGGCCAGAAAGAACAGTGCCATATTGTGAAGAGCTGTCTCTGCCACATTTAGAAGTTTGAATTTCATCCTACAAGTAAAGGTTTGTGACCAGTGAAGTGCCTCAGTTAGGTCTCTTTTAGAAAGCAACAGTAACAATAATATGAAAGATGGACTGAAGCAGAAATAATCAGAGACATAGATTAGCTTGACAGATATTTCACTGGTTCAAGCGAATGACGTCAGATATGACTTGAATATTTATTCACGTCCATAAAAAATTCCAATAGCCATTGTTTATAAAATAAAATTCTTAATCCAAGCACAGTGGCACATGCCTGTAGTCCCAGCTACTTGGGAAGCTGAGGTGGGAGGATCACTTCAGCCCAGGAGTTTGAGACTAGTCTGGGTAACATAGTGAGATCCCATCTCAAAATAAAAAATAAATAAATAAAAATAAGATTCTAACTCTCAACACGGATTCAAAGCCTGTGACAATCTAAAGTACACATACCTTCCCAACGTCATTTCCTGTCCCTTCTTTTCCCATCTTACAACCCAGCCACATTATACTATGAACCATTTCTTCTTTTATATATATTCACACTGCCACATCTTTATGTTACTTATGCAGAATTTGTATGTTACTTATGCAGAGAAAACCTTAATGAACTCCTACTCATCCTTCAAGGACCACTTTTAAAAAAAGGATGTATCTACAAAATCTTCCCTGAGTCCACCTCTCCTAAGGCAAAACTTAATAATACCTTCCTCTAGGCTTTCACATCACATCATTCGTACTACTAATATAGTACTTATCACATTACATTTTTAGCTATCCATTTATCTATCTCTTCTGCTAGAATGTCTGAGATGAGACCAATCATTTACAAATGAAATTATACAAACAAGATTAAGAAATTAATCTCAAATATACATATATACACATTTTTCTTTACCTGGTAAAACTTGAATTTGAACCCAAGAATATGACACAGTGTTTGCGGTTCACACATACTCATGTAAGATTCTAACAAAGATATAAAGAAGTCATCGTGTTCTGGCCTGCATTCAAACACTTCTAAAATGACATCCAAAACTCTATTGGGATCCAGATTAAAGCATCCTGCAACAGATGAGACATACAAAAATTTTAAAAGGATTATACATCATTGCTAGTGAAGCCATTAATTTTCAGGGATAATTCATATAGCAAGATAAAAATATTTTTAAAAACAACTTCCTTTACAAATTTGCTTCCCCTCTCCCAAAGGGAAATAAATCCACTACACATTTTTACAGATGAGAATGTGACTTTCCCAGAATCAAAGAATGGGTTAATGACCGATCTGGGTCGGTACAGTCCAGGACCTGTGACACCAGTCAAATAAATATTCCTCTATGGCACATTTGGCCTCATCAGTTCCTGATTAGTCGGGCTAGTGAAAACAGGTCCACATTATTAATTCTTAGAAAAACATGAAAATTAAACAATGCATTTTACAAATTAAGCAACTAAAGGGTTTTTTTAAATGCTTTAGGCAGAAGTATTTGGAATGTTGATAAACAGTTAAAAGTCCAGGTTCACAAAAGTGGATCATCATTTTTTATTTTATTTTACATATACTACAGAACTATAAAATATAATTATACCGCTGATTAATATCCATGGCTTTTAGTAGCATTCTAAAGGGAAAAGTGGTATGCTATTGATACTAATAAATTAAAGAATACCAAGGGAGTTGGAGGCTCCTGGTTTATGTCAGTTTCCACATGCCTTTCATCAAGCTGAATGGGATTCTAGTATTTTAAAATATGTATATTTCATTAAACACAGTCCCTAAATGCAAGCTAACCACTTCATTGGGTCAAAAAATAAACACTGATTTCTTCTAATCCTGGAGGAAAAAAGAACTGTGATCAATTTAGGGACATATGTTAAATCTAAACACTTATACCTTATGGATGAGTTAGGGGATTTTTCCAAGAAAATTTTTATATAACCTATTCCTGTCCCAACCCTTTTGTAAGAAGATATCTCCAGGTACTTTTATTAACTCCACAGTTATTTATATTAAATGCTATAAAACTAATGTTTCTTTGTACCTTAGCAATCGCTTAGAAAACCAAATCCTCCAAATACAAGTTTTCCCTTTTTATGAGATCCAAACTTAGGAACACATTTTCTTCTGCTTCTCATACTAAGGAAAAGGAGGACTAAAGCAGTGATCATGTCTTAGTCAAAAAAAAAAAGCTACATATTTTCATAAACTCTCCAAAAAGACATTTCCCTGAAGTTCTAGGAAGAAAATTTCTAAATATTTTTACCTCCCCCATACTTCCAAAAAGTATGGCCTACGAATATAAAAGTAATTCCAAGACAGCAATTAAAATCCTTAAATGCTGCTGGTGGCAGCATTTAAAATGGTACAACCACTTTGCAAAATTGGCAGTTTCTTTAAAATTTAAACTTACACCTACCATATGACCCAGCCTAGGTATTTACCCAAGAGAAATAAATGTCTATGTCAATACAAAGATTTGTACACAATAAAGCAGGTTTATTTGTAATATATAACACTCCTCTCCTCAAATGTCCATCAACATATAAATGGATAAACAATTTGCAGTATAAGTGGAGTAAGGATAAGTACAGTGGACATACTCAGCAACAAAAAGGGAAGAACTATTGATACAGGCAACAGTATGAAAGAATCACAAAATATGCTGAATGAAATAAGCAAGACCAAAAAAAAAAAGTACACACTGTATGATTCCATCTATAGACATTCTAGAAAAAGGAAATTAATCTACAGTAACAAAAAGCAGATCAAGCTGGGCATGGCGGCTCACACCTGTAATCCCAGCACTTAGAAAGGTCGAGGCAGGTAGATCACTTGAGTCCAGGTGTTTGAAACCAGCCTGAGCAATATGGCAAAACCCCATTACTACAAAAAAAATAGCCAGGCATGGTGACACATGCCTGTAGTCGCGGATACTCAGGAGGCTGAGGCGGGAGGACTACCTGAGCCCGGGAGGCAGAGGTTGCAGTGAGCCAAGAAGAGGAAAATTGAGGGGGAGTAGGAGAAATGTGCAGTATCTTGTTTGTGGTGTTTTCACAGATGTATACGTATGTTAAAACTCAAATTGTACAGCTTAAATATGTGCATTTTATTGTATGTCAATGAAGCCTGAACAAAGATGAAAAATGCCTTCACAATGCTGTGACACTGATGATAGATTATGGAAGATCTAGCAAATTCTCCAATCATGTAACTTCTCCTACATTAAATATAAAAAAATTAAATCACTAAATAAAAATGAATTACCATTGTATCACAGAAGACAAAAGGGACACTGAATATAATTTTTGACAAACTGGCTGGCTTATAATTACCCATTAGGCTACATACACAAAACTCATAAATAAAGGATGGAATAGCAACATGTTAGATGAAAATCTTTTAAGTGTTTCATTCACATTGCTTTTAAGTTTACATTTTCAATATGTTGAAATGTGAACCACTAGCAATTATGTTTTATTTAACAGCATTACTCCATCAAGGCTATTCTATCAGTGATCTGTACTGTCAACTACCCATTTTCCTTCTAGGTGCAATTTAAGGCAATAATCTGAAACAAGAGGTATGTACTTTTATATCTAAGAGGTACCACCTTTGCATCTTTCATTAAAGAAAACCTGGTTTATGAGTTTTCTATGACATATCTCAGGTGCCGTAAGTCGAATCAATTTTATCCATAAGACAGAAAAGGTAGCTGTAACCAACTGAAAGTTTAGATAATTATTTCCATTTACTTTTCTTTATTATTATTTTTAGAGACAGGGTCTCGCTCTGTTGCCCACACTGTAGTGTAGTGGTGCATTCATAGCTCACTGCAACCTCACACTCCTGGGCTCAAGTGATCTTCCCGTCTTAGCCTCCCGATTGGCTAAGACAACAGGTGCACACCAACACGCCTAGCTAACATTTTGTAGAGATGGGGTCTCAAACTCCTGATCTCAAGTGATCCTCCTGTCTTAGCTTCCCAGAGTGCTGGGATTGCAGGCATGAGCCACCATGCCCACCTGAAAATTATTTTTAAAATCTTAGTGTTTTAATTAATAGTTAAGCTAGTTCATACACAGTGAGACTCTACTAATAATCAGTAAGTCTGAATATCCAAAATGTTTTCCTAATGGCAGCTATAGAAGAATATAAGCAGTCTTGTATGCAAACATCTTAGAAAGACTTTTGTCCAGCCCAAGCATTGATAGTCACATGATCTTTGGAGAGATCATAAACCTTGCTCCCTACCTCTACCACCAGTTACATTCATACACACACACATTTATATATATTTACACATACATACACACACACAAACACACACACCTTTATGCCTTTTGAGGAACAAACAAGAAACCATATTTAAAGAGAATGAGTGGAAAAAATAAAGAAACTGCAGATCTACAATGGCCATAGATCCCCTCCTTCATTTAAATAAGTATGAAATAATTACCCACCACGTGCCAGGTGCTTATGATTCTCTGGAAAAATAGAGAAGAGAGTAGAAAGGAGGGATAAACACAAAGAGGCAAGAGGAAATTTCAGGGGAAGTGGGAGGAACGTGCATTATCTTGTTTGTGGTGTTTTCACACAGGTATACATATGTTAAAAATCAAATTGTACACTTTAAATACGTGCATTCTATTATACGTCAATGAAGTCTGAATAAAACTGAAAAATTACAGTCATTAATAAAATGATTATGCTACCCTTGAGGAGAGTTCACACCTTTTGAATGATACATCTTTGAAGAAATGCAATAAAAAGCAACTGGAATCTCCCCAAAGATAGAAAAAAACGGCCAGTATGTTACAGCGACAGCGACTAGGGGCAAGAAATATGATCAAACTGACAATGACTCTTGTAGAAATTAGGCCAAATTGAGATGTTAACAGGAAAATAAAAGACCAAGATAATATTGCAGACCTAACTAGGAGAGATGTCCAGCCTATAAATTTCAGGCAAGAAAACAGAATTATAGCCTCAATCATCATGTTCCTGAGAGAATGGACCTTAGGAGACAAAGAAAAGCATGTTTTTAACAAAATGAAATTATCTAGCATGTAAAAAGAATTTCTTTAGAAGCAAGCTAATAAAAATCTATGTCAGACTATTTCTAAGAAACACTATTTGCAAAAAGCTGCACATCTCAAAGCAAGGACCAATGAATAACAAAATTAAAGTATGATGTAAAAAACAGTAACAAAGCCAGGTACGGTGGCTCACGCCTGTAATCCCAACAATTTCGGAGGCCAAGGCAGGTGGATGCTTGAGCTCAGGAGTTTGAGACCAGCCAGATCAAATGGCAAAACCCTGTCTCTACAAAAAAATACAAAAATTAGCTGGGCATGGTGGTATGTGCCTGTAGTACCAGCTATTTGGGAAGCCGAGTCCAGAAGGCAGATGTTGCAGTGAGCCAAGATTATACCACTGCAATCCAGCTTGCGCGACAGAGCCAGACCCTGTCTCAAAATAAAAATAAAAATAAAATAAATAAATAACAAAAAACCCCTATACTTGGAAACACCAATTGCTGTCTTCTTTTTCGTACTATGAAGGGAAAACTTCTAACATATAGCCAAGAAACTTCAATAATGTAAAAATTTAGATAAAGAAGGCAGCCAGCTTCCCGTTCAAAGGGATAGGAAAAGCTGGCACAATAAGAAGTGTCTAGGCTGAACGGACCCTATATTCAGATTGAACCAAAGATAAAATACTAAGTACACTCAAAATCATGTAGTCAAAGGGGTAAAATGTACCATAATCTATCCGAAAATAATCATTTGGCTTGAGGATTTATTTTGTTTTTAATGTTCCTCTGGTCACTTGAGAGACTGAAGAGGTAAAGACTCTCACTCTACCCTTCCCTAGGCAAATCTATACCCTTTAACACCAGGTAACAAATGAAGGTCTTGAGGTTTGATGAAGCAAGCTCTGGTTCTGCAAGAGAAGGTAAATGGGTTAGAGCCTAGGACTTAAAAATCCTGGACCACTAAAACCAAAAATCAGGAAGAACTATTTTCACTCTCTAAAGCTAGGCTCAAATAACCTACCTCCATGATTAGTTTTTAGGCAGACCTTTTGAGTTAGACCAAGAATAGGCAAACTATGCCTTGTGTGTTAAATCCATTCAGCTGTCTGTTTTTGTAAGTAACATTTTATTGGCACATAGTCAGATTTACTTATGTACTATCAATAGCTGTTTTTACACTACAATGGCAAAATTGAGTAGTTAACAACAGAAACCATATGGTCCACAAAGCCAAAAAATATTTACTATCTCACCCTTTACAGAAAACACTTGCTGACCACTGATTTAGAAGAAAGGAAAGAACACTTAGCAATAATTTGTTTTTACTATACATATTTAAAGTGTACAGCATCATACTTTGATTTTTTTTGAAGGACATCCAAAGGAGTAGAGTTCTTACACTTTAGTTCAGCAAATAAAGGAGTCCACCTGTGACATTCTTTCCTCTAATTTCTAAAAGATTTTTTTTTTTTTTTTTTGCCATCTTCAAGCACTTGTTTGGTGTCTACGACTTGGCAGCTCAATAATCTACTATTCACTACTCATTCCTGTTTAATAAGTTGTTCACATTGTCAAATAACAATCACCATGCAGATGCATAATGGTTCTGCTTCCTTGCTTGCACGGGTAGTAAACAGCCCCAGGCTACCTGACAGGACATAAAAATGTTGATGTGCCAGAATCTTTTGGGAGCAAATAACTGCTTCTTCTTTTTTTTGGACAGTGTCTCACTCTGTCACCCAGGCTGGAGTGCAGTGGCGTGATCTCAGTTCACTACAACCTCCATTTCCTGGGTTCCAGTGATTCTCCTGCCCACGCCTTCGGAGTAGCTGGGATTACAGGCACGTGCCACTGCGCCCAAATGATTTTTGTGGTTTCAGCAGAGACGGGGTTTCACCATGTTGGCCTGGCTGGTCTCGAACTACTGACCTCAGGTGATCTGCCCGCCTCAGCCACCCAAAGTGTTGAGATTGCAGGCTTGAGCCACTGCATCCAGCCAAAAAACTGCCTTTTAACTAAAGGATGATAAGTAAGGATTTATCCCAGTCAGACCAAGTACCCTGAATGTACATGCACCAAACTAGGTACCGTCCAAACTAGGTATCAGTTTCTAACACAGATTGGTGAAGGAGGTATTACCTGTCTAGACTGTTCCTAAACAGAAAACAATGGGAATAAATACAGAGAAACCCATCCAAAGAGGCCAAGAAAAACAGGACGCTGGTCAGTAAGCTGTTCTGGACAGATGAGACAAGGTCTGGATGAAGTCTGCACTAAGAGGGAATCCAATAAATGCTAAGAACACTGAAAGAATTGAATTGGAACTGAAGTTTCAACCTCTATTTTCACATCAATGAAAAAATTTTCATTCAGGCTGGGTGCAGGGGCTCATGCCTGTAATCCCAGCACTTTAGGAGGCTGAGGCAGGCAGATGACTTGAGGCCAGGACTTCGAGACCAGCCCAGCCAACTTAGTGAAACCCCATCTCTACTAAAAATAGAAAAAAAAATTAGCTGGACATGGTGGCGCATGCCTGTGTTTAATTCCAGCTACTCAGGAGGCTGAGGCACGAGAATCATTTGAACTTGGGAGGCAGAGGTTGTGGAGAGCCAAGATCACGCCACTGCACTCCAGGCTGGGCGACGAAGCAAGACTCCGTCTCAAGAAAAAAAAAAGTTAATTTCTCAGACAATTGGGGAGGAGGAAATCATCTAGCCAGAGATAAATAAACATTGAGACAGAGAGATGAACTTTCTAAAATTCTCCATGTCAGGAAAAAAACGGTAAGAGTCAGTATAGACTATATAAGAATAAATATTCATTCCTTTTAACCCAGTATTTATTCATCACCCACATACCAAGTATTAAGGATGAGGTACTAAACAAAACCCCAGTCCTCACAGAGCTTAGATGCAGGGGGAGCGGGAGGAGGTATACAGTATATTATATGGTGATACATGCAAAACAAAGAAAAATAATCAGGGAATAGCAAGGAATTTTGACAGGGGTGGGCAGGGAAGTCTTCACTAAGGTGACATTTGAGTGCTACTTGGTGGGTTAGAAAATAGGTTTAGCTCAATAAATCAAATTGTTTATACTCATCGACTGTCCATACACCTCATGAACTTGCAGTTGTTTGTTACATTGTTCATCAGAAACAGGATCGCAGCCTGTTCTCCCAAGAGCAAAGTTCAAGAAAACTAAGTAGTGTACATTGTCTAGTAAGATAAAAGCACACCTTCAAGAAAATCCCTCTTTGAAATATTCCCCAAATAACAAAGGAATAAAAAGGTATAAACTCACAAGAAACAGAGGAAGAAACAGATGTCAACAAAAAAAGGATCTAAAGTAAAAAAAGAAAAAAAAGAAAAGACTGAGGAGCTTACATTGCACAGAATTTTTATGTGGGGAATACTATCTTAAGTACATGATAGGGTACAAGGAAAAGCAAACTTATAGCAAAGCAGTACTGACAAGCTTCTCAAGCTAGATCAAAAAACACTTCAGGAAAGTGTGGCGCCTACCCTAGAAAGAACAGAAAGGGGCAGGGCACAGTGGCTCATGCCTGCAATCCCAGTACTCTGGGAGGCCAAGGTGGACGGATCACCTGAGGTCAGGAGTTCAAAACCAACCTGGCCAACATGGTGAAACCCTGTCTCTACTAAAAATACAAAAATTAGCAGTGCGTGATGGCAGGCTCCTCTAGTCCCAGCTACTCAGGAGGATGAAGCAGGAGAACTGCTTGAACCCAGGAGGCAGAGGTTGCAGTGAGCTGAGATCGCACCACCGCACTCCAACCTGGCGACAAAGTGAGACTCCATCAGAAAGAAAGAAAAGAAGGAAAAGAAAGAAAGCAAAGAAAGAACGAATGAACGAACGAACGAACGGAAAGGGACCCCCGCAGGACGGTTTTTAAAAACGGGTTACTGCCACACAGGTAAGCAAGAGTCCCACAGCCCTAAGGGGCCACCCATCTTGATGTTAAATTGACAACTGGAAGAAACAGCAAAGAAACTAAGATCAGCTGCTGGAACTAGATATACTTCAAAGAAAAGGGTAAATTTAAACTAGAAGCTATTCTTTGGTCAGGCACAGTGGTTCACACCTTTAATCCCAGTACTTTAGGAGGCCGAGGTGGGAGAATCACTTGAGCTCATGAGTTCAAGACTAGCCTAGGCATAATGAGACACCATCTCTTAAAAAAAATTAAAATTAAAAAAATAAACTAAAAGGTACTTACTTGTTGGTAAGAACAAGGGTGATTATAGTAAATATAGTTTTATTTGGATTCCTACACAAAGCACTAGAGGAAGGAAATAACGCCTTCTCCCTCTTTCTTAGTCATATATAAACTCTAAAAAACAGAAGAACCAAGAAGCTGAGGATAAGCACCCCTAAGATATAACAAGTGAGACACAAAATATGACTCCTCTGGCAGGTGGTGCAAAATCTTCCCTAAGACAGCACAACACCTAGCAAATAACAGAAAAGACTCTTTCCACCTTAGGAAAATCTGGATTACCGTATTTTTCTAGTACTCATTCATCTTTTCTATAGAAGTCAACTACTTCCTCCAAACACTCAATGCAAATAAAAAGAAAAAAGTAATGCTACACAAATTCTACTTAAAGGGTAGAGAGAATAAAACTTTCCTATCTGTTACACTTTTGCAATCGCTGTTGCACTGACTTTAAAAGGCTATTAGAAAGATAAAATAAACTATGTATCAAAGTCCCTTGTAAAGTTATTTTGAAAATCAAGTTCAAAATTACACATCTGTAGGTTTCAAAAGTTCACTGAAGATTTACTGTATTAAAGTTTTCATGTTTGCTTTTCGGTCCTCCATAAAAGGATAGAGAAATACTTAAAAATTAAAAATAGAAATACTAGAGAAACATAGGACATTTTGTATCAGAACAGTCCATCCTGTTCTTTGTTATCCATTCTCTTTTGAAAGCATTGGTTTATCACTCAGGACCCCCTCCAAAAAAAAAAGAAAGATTAGACAGAGCAGGACCTAATATTAACACACAAGTAACAGTGACAAAAAGATTTCTCACAAATGTCATGCTAAATTTTATAATTACTGATAAAACATTAAAAGTAAAATCTAAACACCTCTCCCATTCCTTAACTGGAAAAAAAAAAAGTATATGGAATGCACTCATTTTGTGTTTATGGATATTCTCCAACAGTTAAAACAACTTGTTATCTTAACAACACATACTATACAAATGTATATCTTACCTATTAAAGATTTGATATTTTCTAAGATTAAATCACTAGTAATGCTTCCAGATAAATCTTGCCCCAATTCAGCAATCAGCTTGGCATAACCTTCATTCTCTTCTCTTAACAAATTGAATTTCTGCTGCTTATAACTGAAATCAGATAAAATATCATTAAGGGGATAAAATTAATTTCAATTAACAAGCTTGCACAGAGTACTGTATTCTCATCAAATTTTCTTATCTCCAACCTACAAAAATCATAAGAATACTTTCTGTAAGTTTACCTCTTTGTGTACCTTCTAGAGTAAAAAATAACAGTGGTTCATATGAGAACTCCAATGTTAATCACGTGGGGAAAACCAGTAACATAAGAAAAGAATATTGTTAATCTTAGGGAATGATAACATATCACTATTTCCATCTCTGACTAAGAATATACCCCAAGTACAGCCAGTCATAAATTATTTTATTGCTAATGATGAAAGCATGAGTATTATTTTAGCTTTGAATATGGACAAAAGTAGCATTGGTTTTACACAGGTAAAGGTCACTGATCACTCAAAAATATTAGGCTACTTTTAGAAGGCTTAAAACACAAGATATATGCTAATCACAAACAAAAAAATAATCTTCAAAGAAGCTACTAACATTCAAAATATGAACAAAAAAACATACTCAGCTACTTGATCTGCAACATAAGATACATTTACTTACAAGAGTTTTGTCTTGATTTTAACTGACTTTTGATTGAATTGCTGTGATTGTTTGATAAGCCCTAATGATTCCAGTGTTTCTGGATCCAGGCGTTCCTTCAGGACTGTGTCTGAAACTAAATACTGGATTAAAAAACATTAAGGGTCATTTATTCCTTAGCATTGCATCCACAACCTTAAATATATTCAAACTAAAGCTTCCTAAACAAGAATACAAAAATCACATTCTCTATATAACAACCTACAATTTATAAAAAGGCTTGGAAGTTTAATTTAATAAACATTTTGACTCTAAATATTGAAATATTTAATAAACAGCTTTCCAAAAATTCACTACAAAATTATATCCATGTTGTATACTACCTATAAATGACAAAAACTATAGATGAAATTTTCAGTAAGATTACATTTGGCTTAACTGGATTTTCACCTAATACAGCACTTTATAGCCTCCTACTTTAATGCTAATATAGCAAAGACAAGCACTTTCTTCCAGGTCTCAGCCATGGCAGCTCTCCCTGGTTCTAAATTTATGAACACAAAATGGTTTACTAGACAACTAGAATTTATCATTTTTAAACTACCTCTGCTCTTTTTAACAGTTCATGAGGGGAAAAATCCATTTAAAAGCTGTCTACAATCATTTCTACTTACTTTATAAATGCTAACCTTTTTCTTAGGAACTTAACTAGGTCAAGAAAATCACCAGTTTTGAATGTATAGTTTAAGTTATATGGATATGGTTACATGCTAATTTCATAGAAACAGCATGCCTAATTTCACAAAACATTCCATTTCAAAACCCAAATTTCACCTTATAATGAGAAAAGCCAAATGAATGTCAATATCCTCCACCATTAACATGATTAACTTCTATTATAACAGTTAAATGCAGATTTTTAAAAGAGAAAAATATTTTTTAAAACTTACCAAACATGCTAATACCAACTGTGTAAAATAGTCTCTCTTGCTTTTTTCTTCTAAACAATTTGTTTCAATATCTATAATGATAAAGAAGACAAAAGTTTGACGTTTCTAGACTCCCCTGCACTAAAGTAAGATATTTACTTTCCTTAAAACTAATTTTAAAATATCTCAATCTAAATTTGGAAAAATTCAAAACTATGGTAACACGAGATGTCCTTCATGTGCATATGAATGCTTTAATTTCTCCTAAAACTAGAGATTGACCCTGTGACCTATGATATAGCCAAAAACGGTCTATCAATTACACTGGAGCTACCTGTTATGGCACTGGAAGCAACAAAGATTCAAAAAAATATTGTTCGCAAAAAATGAAACATTCAAACAAAGTTTAAATGACCACTTGTCGGAGATGCTTAAAAAAAAAAAAAAAAAAAGATTCTTTTAGGTGGAAAGTTAAACAGGGTTACAGCAAAGATTTCTTCTAACTCTAAAGATCCTAATATTCAAGATCAAACCCATGACTTTCGCCACCCTGGTCCAATTACTATGTTCTAACCAGGCTACCTGGCCACCAACCTCATGAAAAGACAGTATTTAAAAATATTTTTGGCCAAGTGCGGTGGCTCATGCCTGTAATCCCAGCACTTTGGGAAGCCGAGGCAGATGGATCACCTGAGGTCAAGGCTAGCCTGCACAAGATGGTGAAACCCCTTCTCTACTAAAAATTCTAAAATCAGCTGGGCATGGTGGTGCACATCTATAATTGCAGGTACTAGGGAGGCTGAGGCCGGAAAATCACATGAACTAGGGAGGCGGAGGTTGCAGTGAGCCAAGATCACACCACTGCACTACAGCCTGGGTGACAGAGTAAGACTCTGTCTCCAAAAAACAATTTAACATCTTATCTTGAATTATAATTCTAGTCAGTAAATAAAAATTATTCAAAATTGTATATTCCTACTGAAATATTTAAAAACTGAGACCGTGAGTTTCAGTAAATTATTCAGAAAATTTGTCAAAAAATTTTCTTAAGTATGGAAGAAAGAAAACAATTAGTGTCAAATGCCAAGCACCAAAAATTTCAACCAGTATTGGCAGGATTACAAACAAAGCTGATCTCAGGATTACTGCTTTAACTGACTACATACTATTAACCTAATTTTAAAGTCAAATCATAATTTAGAATGTGCTATAAAGAGAAGCACTGGTTTTAGTGAAATAATAAAAATTGTCCTCTACATGTTCTACTGCCAACACTGAGAATCCAAAGAGAAGGGGATTTTTCATCAAACATATCCACATTTTCCTGGCCCTTCACTTTCCCTTCTTGGACAGTTGCCATTTCCACATATCCTGGCCACTGTAGCTATATACACAGTCAGTTCAAGTTTATTAACGAAATTTTAGGGTGTAATTTATGCAACGTAAATTACCGCACAATCTCAATTTCTCATTAAGACTTTTAATTAATGTGTATCTCACCAATCCTTTTCAGGGATCCCCAATTGTTGCCTTGTTATCTGGTTTTCTGGTCCCTCCTCAGTCTAGAACTTTTAAGGATGCTGATTTTTAAGGGACTGGGGCCAAACTGGGTTCATCCTTTTACCCAACTTCTATCTATACTCCAGGGCGCTAAAGTCCTTAAGATCCACCCCTCAAGGTCTCTAAGATCAGGGCACCGGATGGCAGATTCATCCTCTTCAAGTCAAGTCTCTCTCCACTCAGCCACCTAATCTGATTAAGACACTTATCCTCTGAGGGTTTGTGAATCTGGAATGAATTATTTTAGCTCATTAATCTTTTTTTTTATTTTTTTTTTATAGAGATGGGGTTTCACCATGTTGGCCAGGATGGTCTTGGTCTCCTGACCTCGTGATCCACCCACCTCGGCCTCCCAAAGTGCTGGGATTATGACGTGAGCCACCTCGCCCGGCCTACCTCATTAATCTTAATTCTTAGAATTGGATAAATTACTTAAATGTCTAACCATTCTCTTGGGTTCTGACCATGTTAAGAAATGCTTAATTAGGTCTCAGTAAATTTCTCAGATGAGCTATCTCAACAATCAGTACAGGATTCTATTATGCCAAATGTACTTTCCCTGATTTCTTCATTCTTTTGGCTCAAACTCGTAACACCATTCTAATAAACTCATTTATTCTCTCTGACTCCTCTACCTCAAATAAATTCTCTTTAAGTTTCCCTATGATTTTAATAAAAAGCCCTCAGCTATTTCCAGCTCTAGTTCCCAGTATCACCAATTACCTACCCCAGCCTAGAGGTCCCTCAGCATAGCAGCATATCAACTTACAACAGACTCACCCTTTCTATAGCTCTGAGGCCCCCTCACCTTCATATGATTAGTCTGTTAAAGAAAGTTGCTATCTGCTGGGCTCGGCAGCTCATGCCTATAATCCCAGCACTTTGGGAGGCCAAGGCAGGCAGGTTACCTGAGGTCAGGAATGCCACACTAGCCTGGCCAAAACGGCGAAACACCATCTCTATTAAACATAAAAAATTAGCTGGGCGGCCGGGCGCGGCAGCTCAAGCCTGTAATCCCAGCACTTTGGGAGGCCGAGGCGGGTGGATCACAAGGTCAAGAGATCAAGACCATCCTGGTCAACATGGTGAAACCCCGTCTCTACTAAAACTACAAAAAATTAGCTGGGCATGGTGGCGCGTGCCTGTAGTCCCAGCTACTCAGGAGGCTGAGGCAGGAGAATTGCCTGAACCCAGGAGGCGGAGGTTGCGGTGAGCCGAGATCGCGCCATTGCACTTCAGCCTGGGTAACAAGAGCGAAACTCCGTCTCAAAAAAAAAAAATTAGCTGGGCATGGTGGCACATGCCTGTAATCCCAGCTACTTGGGAGGCTGAGGCAGGAGAATCACTTGAACCTGGGAGGCAGAGGTTGCAGTGAGCCGAGATTACATCATTTCACTCCAGCCTGGGCAAGCAGAGTGAAACTCCGTCTCAGAAAAAAAAAAAAAAAAAAATGCTATCTTAACCTCCAAAGTGCAGCACTAATTTCTCTTATAACTGTTAACATTTAAAAAGACAACATGATGCAATAAAAATATCACAGGCTGTGGAGCCAAAGGGACCCAGGTTCAAATTCTGTCTTACTGGCCTGCTTGGCCTTAAAAAATCACCGCTTCGCTGAACCTCATTTTTCTGATCTGAACACCTACCACCTTTACAGTTGTTGATGTAAGGATTAAAATAAAAACTAAATGCTTAACACAATGCCTAGAACACGGAAGGTACTCTAAAAGCAGAACATACATTGTTATTATTATCATTATTATTGTCATCACCAGCTTCATTATTAGAGGCAGCTCATATTCTTATTCCTATTCCCCAGTCTGGATCTGGGGTCAAACTTGAATCACCTTTTCTCTGCCAAGGGTGAGGGTGGGTGAGTGAGGGGGCAGGTGAGGGAAATCCTCTTTCCAAGTTTGCTGTCATAATCTTGCTTGTAAAAATGGACTGGATAGGCTGGGCGCAGTGGCTCACACCTGTAATCCCAGCACTTTAGGAGGCCAAGGTGGGCAGATCACTTGAGGTCTGGAGTTCCAGACCAGCCTGGCCAACATGGTGAAACCCCATCTCTACTAAAAACACAAAAAATTAGCCAGGCATGGTGGTACATGCCTATAATCCCAGCTACTTGGGAGGCTGAGACAGGAGAATCACCTGAACCCGGGAAGCAGAGGTTGCAGTGAGCCAAGATTGCACCACTGCACTCAGCCTGGGCAACAGAGCAAGGACTCCATCTCAAAAAAAAAAAAAAAAAAAAAAAGGGTAAGAAAAATTTCCCAAGAGCAACCAAGCATCATCTTCATGAATCAGGTTACTAGTAAAAGGCAATGAATTAACAATAATTCATACTGCTAAATAACTATGAAGGGAAAATACAACCTAATAAGTCAATAAAGAAATTACTAGCACCAATAAGCTGATAATTAATGATTACCCAAAGAAAGATATACTCCTGACACTAACAAGGAACAATAGCTTCCACAAAATGTTACCTACAAATCAGTCTTACAGCCTTATAAATTTATAGTAAAAAAATTTTTCAATTGAAATGTTTCATGTTATATTTATTTGCCAAAAAAAAAAAGGTATTATCTTTAGCGCCTGAATAAAAATTTTAGGTTAAAAGGTTTTTTGGTTGCCTTAAATCAATCAATCCAACAGATAGCATATACTTTATCATCCAACCAAGATAGTTCTGAAAGTAAAAGAGGGTACTATTAATAATCAGTCCGTGAAAACAAAACAAAACTGGGGCATGTGGTCAATCTCATCAATGGTCTTCTCTTTTCATTTATCACTCCCAGTCCACATACATTTTGGCCTCCTCCCAACATTACTGGGAACTTATGAAATTGGAAACTTCCTGAAGGATCAAGCACCAGCATTTATATTTGTCAAGACCAAATTCTAAATTTTCAGTAAGACATTTAAGTAATTTATCTAATTCTAAGAATTAAGATTAATGAGCTAAAACAATTCATTCCAGGTTCACAAACCCTCAAAGGATGTCTTATTTTAAAGGGAATACTGGCCGGGTGCAGTGGCTCACACCTGTAATCCCAGCATTTTGGAAGGCCGAGGTGGGAGGATCACTTGATGCCAGGCATTCAAGACCAACCTGAGCAACATAGCAAGACCCTGCCTCTTAAAAACTATCTAAATAAATAAAATGAATATGATAATGTCTGGTTATGTCTTCTATTCAACTCAAAGGTACAGAAAGCACAAGACTGGACCTAGTGCAGTGGCTCATGTCTAAAATCCCAGCACTTTAGAAGCCTGAGCTGGGCAGATTGGGCCCAGGATCCTGCTCCAGACAAGCCTGGGCAACATAGTGAAACCCAATCTCTACCAAAAAAAAAAAAAAAAATCAGCAGGATGTGGTGGATGAAGTAGTAGGATCACTTAAGCCCAGGAAGTCAAGGCTGCAGTGAGCCAAGATCACACCACTGCAGTCCAGCCTGGTCAAAAGAACAAGACCGTATCTCAAAAAAGAGAAGAACATAAAAGAAAGCACAGGACTGACTGATGGGGAAAACTGTGCTCAGTTATTTTCATCTAGATCTAAAATTAGAGAAAAAAATTATAATAAACATTATTTTTAAAATCCATGCCATGGGACACTACATTTCTAAGTCAAAGAAATATTCCTTTTTAATCTTACATGAATCCTTATTTATTCTGGAAAAATAAAGAAGTTGCTATTACCAAAGCTGGTTTCTCATCCTCAAAACAAAAGTATTTTTGATTACTCTGGCTCTTCTTGCTGTTTCTAAAATTAAGAAGAATCAAAGAGTGCAATAGCAAAGTAAGTATTTCTTGAGTGTCCTAAGTCTGAGATTCTGACAACATTCATTGAAAACCTACATTGAATAAGATTATTTGGTTACTAAAATCTCAGAAAACTTGCCCTTTTAAATGACTTAATTTAGTTCAAATTTATACAAATCTACACTGTCAAAAACTCAATTTGAATTATACCTATAAAGCTTATTTATAACATTGATTGTAACATTTGACTTGTATTATTATAAGACTTTAAATGACTTAATTTAGCTCAAATTTATACAAATCTACATTGTCAAAAACTCAATTTGAATTATACTCCTAAAGCTTGTTTATAACATTGATTATAACATTTGACTTATATTACTATATTCTCTATAAAGAATCAATTTGCTTCTACATTTGCAGAAACATTTGTGAAATTCTTAGTGTAAAACATCTTATTTAACACAGTACATTAATTTACCAAATAACACATTACAGGTGAAATAAAGGCTTAATACCTACCTAATATGCAGAATACATCAGCAAGAATGGAGGGCATATCCTCACGAAATTCCTAATTTTAAAAATATAATTACAGTAAATACCAGAAAAGCACACAGCAAGTATGAGGGTTATTCTGATAACATTCTTCAGTGAAACTTAAAAACAAAAACTGGCTGGGAGCAGTAGCTCACACCTGTAATCCCAGTACTTTAGGAGGCCAAGGTGGGCAGCTGACTTGAGCCCAAGAGTTTGAGACCAGCCTGGACCACGTGGCAAAATCCTGTCTCTACAAAAAAAAAAAAAAAAAAAAAAAAAAAATTAGCCAGGTGTGATGACACATGCCTGTGGTCCCAGCTACTCAGGAGGCTGAGGTCAGAGGATTGTTTGAGTCCAGGAGGTGGAAGCTGCAGTGAGCCAAGATCGCACCACTGCACTCCAGCCTAGGCAACAGAGGAAACTCTGTCAAAAAAGAAAAAAATGTATTTGCAGAGGGGCTGAAAAAAAATTTTTTTAAACTAACAAAAACCCCATCATCATATTGACCAATATTAAAATTTTTCACGTTAACTCTCCTAATACAGAGGAAATAAAAGAGGGAGATAATGTTTAGAAAAAATGTTTAACTGTCTACCATGAAATAATTTGAAAACAAAAGAAACCTAAACACTTTAGGAAATATTAAACAGCACAAATGAGTAACATTCTTCCAATGAAGTTTCATTTTAGAAATCACTGGAATTTAGAGTACCTCATACCTACCTAAAGGAAGACTGTTAAAAATGGATTCTGGCCGGGCGCAGTGGCTCACGCCTGTAAGCCCAGCACTTTGGGAGGCCAGGGCAGGGGGATCACTAGGTCAGGAGTTTGACACCAGCCTGACCAACATGCTGAAACCCCAACTCTTAAAAAAATATACATAAATTTTAAAAATTAAAAATAAATAAATAAAAATGGTGCATTCTTCATCCAAGACTTTAAATGTTGACTATGCAAAAATCACAATGGTATGAGAGAAACAGAATCTTGAAAATATAAAACCAGCTAAAAAGCTAAAGGCTAGTTTTGAGGGTTATTTTTTAGTTTCAGGAGATAAATATACAGGTTACATGAATATATTTTGTAATGCTGGGGTTTGGGCTTCTACTGAATCCATCATCCAAACGGTGAACACAATACTCAATAGGTAGTTTTTTTTAACACTTAGCCCTCCTCCTCCCTCTCTCCCACCTTTCTTGAAGCTCAATATTCTCTTCATTTTCTTTACTCACTCTTGTTGTAGCCTTTGGAGAAAATGACTCAAAATCGGGCTGGCGCAGTGGCTCACACCTATAATCCCAGAACTTTGGGAGGCCAGGGTGGGTGGATCACAAGCTCAAGAGTTCAAGACCAGCCTGGCCATGGTGAAACCCTGTCTCTACTAAGAACACAAAAATTAGCCGGGTGTGGTGGTGCGTGCCTGTAATCCCAGCTACTCGGGAGGCTGAGGCAAGAGAATTGCTTGAACCCAGGAGGCAGAGATTGCAGTGAGCCGAGATTGCGCCACTGCACTCCAGCCTGGGTGACAGAGCAAGTCCCCGTTTTGGGGGAAAAAAAAATGACCCAAAATCCTCCTATGTCTAAATAAAAATTTCAGCATTATTCTAGACTTGTCTCTTGACTTTCCACTCCCACACTCAATTTTAGGACTGTTTTCCATTAGTAAGGATCATAGTTCATTTATTGCAATGAATAGTCTGCTGGCAGTACAGCAACACTAAAATTAGCCTATTTTCAGAAACTAAAAGAAATTCTGAAGAAAAATCTGGCAGCTGCAAGGAGGCACATAAGACACACTTCTGTGGCTACGGACAATGTATAGTACTAAGAGAAAGCCATGACAAAGACAATCAAGCTGCAGAAGTATCTATAAAGACATCATTAAGTACTCAAAAGAAAGAAGAAGTTATGTAAGAATTAAATACACATACATAAAATTGACTTGAATTATTCATTTTCAATAAATGAAAAAAGAATTAGAATCAGATCCCATAAACAAACTAAAACCTATACCAATGCTCAATTTACAAAATGAAATAACCTTGTCAATCAGATTGTAGCCTCAAATTTCTTAAGGACTCTGAACTCTGGTTATGTCTATTTAAATGCAAGTACTCAGGCTACTTGAAGATCAGAAATAAAGTAAGACAAGAGTTTTCAAACATGAAATATTAGTTAAGAAAGATTGGTAGCAATTGAATTTTTTTAATGTTAAAAAAAAAAGGAAATAGACCTACTCCAACATGAACTAATGCTGTTGTTATCAGCTGGAGACAATTTAGAGACAAAAGGGTAACTCATTGAATTCCTACTGCTCAAATACACCCCAATATGGGGTGGAAAATCACAACAGCTAAACTTAGAATTTCCTTAAGACTATCCCTGGGAAAGCACAAAAAACATACAAATATTACCTCCCCTAAAAGAAAAAAAAGGCTACAGAAGATTAATGAAACACAGTAGTGAAGCTCAGACTGAGACCAAGAAACTTCAGATCCCACACCTTAATAAAACCTATTATAAAAGAGAATCTGAATTTTATTTATATACAAGTTCATTATATATAGATATACACACACACGCATCTATATATACACAAGATAATTTTATTTATATACAAGTTTAAAAACAAGCATAAAAGAACAGCACACCACTCGTAAAAACCTCAAACTTAACTGCTAGTTTACAATTTGAAAGCCCATCTTCCAATTGAAAAGCCAAAGCACTATGAAGAATATCTGGTGTGACTCTAACTTAAATTCTCCAATAAATGAAAGAGTGAAACACAATAACCATGTAAGTTTTTTTTAATCTAGTTAATATTTTTTAAACCATAAGTAGATGAAAACTAGCACCAACTGAATGTTAGAGACAACCAACCACAATTTAAAATAATTTAATCCTCAATTTTTAAAATATATTTAATTTCTAAACATAACTACAAACAAAAAAATGGCTTATTATGCTGTATTGGGAGAAAAATATTTTAGCCAAATTACTTTTAAAAGAGAAAATTTAAAAATCCATCTACTACTATAATTTTGAATACAATAAAAGTTATACACTTCAGGGATCTTTTGTGTCAAAGCAAAAAGATATATAACAACTCATATATATTATATACTTACACTAATGTCATTAAGAACATTAGATGCCTGTTCATGCTTTAGATTTCCTTTAATTACATGATATGACAATTCATAGAGAGCTTGCTGGAAATCTGTTGAACGTAAGAGAAATAATATAAAGATACAATCTCTTGAACATGAAAAACAAATCTATATATTTCCTACTTCTCAGAATTATTATAAACATCAATAATGAAAAATGTATTTCTAATGCTTTTTCTCTAGCACTTCTTTTATTTTCATAAAAACACAAAATTAAAAGGTTAGAAAAATATTAACCATCCCTCCACTACTATAACCACAGGTTGAGCATTCCTTTCCAGTTTATTCTGGATGTCTACATATTTTACATATTTAAATTTGCTATGCACATCATATAGTATTCTAATTTCCCCAAAACACTTTTAAAAGCATTTTTTTCATGCTACTATACTCTCTATAATTATTTTCAATGAACTCTAGCAAGTGAATTTAAACTAATCATTTTCCTCACCAGTAGACTTCAGACATATACTCAATTCAACCCCAGGGCCACAGTGACACCAGATAAAGAGTAGCAGTAAACATAGTACTGAGTTTTAACCATACCCTACTGTCAGAGATATTTCTCCCCAAATTTAATCTCTTTGTCCCATAAAAATCAAACAAAAAATACATCTATATATACATGTATAAAATGGCAGTTCTATGATAACTGTCGACCACAAATAACCCCATTCACTATTAATTACCACAGCCCCCTTTCCTGAAGAAATATTTTTTGGTTTTGGAGAGGGTAGTTAGTGGTCAGGTGAACACCTTCTGGTCATCTTATTTTTAGTCCCATATACTAAAATTTACCTCCTTCCAATCATGAAAAGTAGTGAAACAAGAAGCTTTAAAGATGCTAATGTAAAATAAAGTCTGTTTATAACCTCCTTTTGAGCGGAATCAAATTTTTTTCAGAACCAAACAGCAAGTTAAAAAATCAAATATTTAAAAAATCTTCTTGGCCAGGCTCAGTGGCTCACGCCTGTAATCCCAGCACTTTGTGGGGCCAAGGCAGGAGGATGGCTTGAACCTAGGAGTTTGAAACCAGCCTGGGCAACTTAGGGAGACCTCGTCTCTACTTAAAAAAAAAAAAATTAGCCAGGTGTGGTGGCGGTGCACCTGTTGTGCCAGCTACTCGGGACGCTGAGGCAGGAACTTGAACCCAGGAGGTCAAAGCAGCAATGAGTTCTGACTACATGATGATCTCAAAAAATATAAAAAATAAAAACTTCTCCCCTGCTATGACTACTGCCCACAAAAAGGAACATAATAGAAATCAAAATGTATATAAATCCCCCCTTAATGAAAACACTATTTTGCAGTAAAATTAACTTGTTCATTAAATCATTTGCTAAGGAAACGTAGTCAGATTATTCCAATTCTTTATGAAGAATTCATTATTAAATATATTCTGCCTCTTTCACAACTATACCTTCATTGTGCTTTTTCTATTTTTTTTAATAGAGACAGGGTTTCACCATGTTGCTCAGGCTGGTCTTGAACTCCTGACCTCAGGTGATTCATCCATCTCAGCCTCCCAAAGTGCTAGGATTACAAGCATGAGCCACCATGCCTGGCCTCATTGTGCTTTTAAATAAATAAACAATATAAAAACAAAGGAAAAAATTTATATTTCTTGGTATGGCAGGAATAAGACGTCAACTTCATGCTTTGTATTTCCATGAATAAAATGCTTTACAACAAACAACAAATAATACTTATTTAAAATTATCCAGACAACTAAGTTTTGTTGCTGTTGTTGTTTGCTTTTAAAAAGCAATCACTTAGAACAAAATAGCCAATTATCTAAAACTAAGGTCCCATGAGAGTATGTTCTCTGGTACTCATAGGGGACCAAGGAAAAAATTTATATTTTTTGGTATGGCAGGAATAAGAGGTCAATTTCATGCTTTGTATTTCCATGAATAAAATGCTTTACAACGAACAACAAATAATACTTATTTAAAATTATCCAGACAACTAAGGTTTTTTGTTGTTGTTATTGTTTTTAAAAAGCAATCACTTAGAAGAACAAAATAGCCAATTATCTAAAACTAAGGTCCCATGCGAGTATGTTCTCTGGTACTCATAGGGGACCAAGGAAGTCTAATCTTAATCACAGAAGGAGATTAAAATAGAGAACAAGTGGCCTGGGTCATTTTGCTGACACTAAAATGATATAAAAACAATCACATTGTAATCCATACAGCAGCAAAGACAGTCCCCAAATCACACGTTTTCTTTTTCTTTTTTTTTTTTTTTATTTTGAGAGAGTCTCGCTCCCCAGACTGGAGTACAGTCACGCGATCTTGGCTCACTGCAACCTCTGCCTCCTGGGTTCACGTGATTCTCCAGCCTCAGCCTCCCGAGCAACTGCAATTACAGGCATCTGCCACCACACCCAGCTAATTTTTATATTTTTGGTAGAGACAGGGTTTCACCATGTTGGCCAGGCTGGTCTCGAACTCCTGACCTCAAGTGATCTGCCCATTTCAGCCTCCCAAAGTGCTGGGATTATAGGTGTGAACCACAGCACCTGGCCTAATTCACCAGTTTTCCAAATGCCTATTTAAAAATGGTTAGGAATTCCTATTGTGTTTTATCCATAGATAAACACTAGCTATGGTTTAAAATTATCAGACTAGTTCCATAGAAACCTATAAAATCTATATCGCAGGTGAAAAATTTTAATTTATATTTACAATGAGAAGGAAAACGTACAACCCTTATAGTTATCCACAAAAAATTCAATGAAATATTTTATCTTAATGCTAACACTTCAGAAAGAGTAGTTTTAAGAATAGCTACTAGAAGGTAGAGATTCTTAGTTTTTGCGGGGTTTGAAGGTTGAAGACACCAGTTCTTGGTTATATCTAATATCACTAGTACTACTCATTTTTTTTTTTTTTAACAATAATGTACTGTTTATGTTCAAAAAGCTAGAAGGGATTTTGAATTTTCCCAACACAAATGATAAATGCTTGAGGTAATACACTAATTACACTAATTTGATCATTACACATTATATACAGATATGAAAATATCACACTGTACCCCAATTACTCATGTTTATTAGCCATCATTACAATGTTGTTTCACTGGTAGTGGCTGGGGTCAAGGAAAGGTGATTTATAAAAAAAACAAGGAGAAGCAATGTGTGCAAGGGAAACTGCCTGTCTGAAATGAAATTAATTCAAGGGAAGGGGCAGAAAGAGAAAGGTCAGAGGGAACACTGCCCAAACTCAAACCCCTAAGACAGAAAAGAGACTCTGAAGAAATGACAGCTTCCTGCTAGGACAACAAACTGGGGCCCTCAAACCAAAGCCTGACTGTTAACAGAGATCAGCCAAGGAGTATATGTGTTAAGGAGTGTATATGAGAAAGAGAGCACTGGCAATTCAGCCAATAAGGCCACACTTATAACTATTTCTCGTTTCATATGTGAATCAGAACCATGCAAATAAACAATAATCTAATAGTTATTAAGTTCCAGAGTCAAACTGTCACACTACGCTATCATTTATTGAGAATTCTTCTATTTTATCCACCCAATGTTTCTATCAAACAAGATCAAAGTTAACTGAGATGTTAAAAGCTGATTTTAAACAGGGGGAAGAAAAAAGATAAAGTACCCAAGTATTTTTAGAAATGAGTCTTTTTGTACATTCTTACACTTCTGACAGTGAACTAACTTCAACAAGAATACATTACTGTCTATCAATCTCAAAAATATTTTGAGTGATCATGCAATTTTATAAGCAGGATAAACAAGAAAATAATTTGGGGGATGGCAAGCTAGGAATGTTAACTCTTAAAACAGGTCTTACCCATATGACAAGGTGAAAAATGGTTTTTTCATTTGTTTTTAAAAAAACACTTTCCACTCACACATCCAAATGTTCTTTTTTTGAGACAAGGCCTCACTCTGTCACCCAGGCTGGAGTACAATGGCGTGATCTCAGCTCACTACAACCTATGCCTCCTGGTTTCAAGGGATTCTCGCGCCTCAGCCTCCACAGTAGCTAGGATTACAGATGCACGCCACCACACCCAGCTAATTTTTTTTTTCTTTTGATAGAGAAGTAGTTTCACCATATTGGCCAGTCTGGTCTCACACTCCTGATCTCGAGTGATTCGCCCACCTCAGCCTCCCAAAGTGCTAGGATTATAGGTGTGAGCCACCGCACCTAGCCTAAATGTTCTTTAAAAAGTATATCCTCAGCTGTGTAAGGTGGCTTATGACAGCAATCCCAACACTTTGGGAGCCAGAGGCGAAAGCACTGCTTGAGGCCAAGAGTATGAGACCAGCCTGGGCAATATAGCAAGACCCCTCATCTCTACAAAAAATAAATTTAAAAAATAAGGCCAGGCATGGTGGCTCACACCTGTAACCCCAGCACTTTGGGAGGCCGAGGCAGGCAGATCACCTGAGGTCAGGAGTTCAAGACCAGTCTGACCAACGTGGTGAAACCCCGTCTCTACTAAAAATACAAAATTAGCCAGGCGTGGTGGCAAATGCCTGTAATCCCAGCTACTTGGGAGGCTGAGGCAAGAGAACTACTTGAACCCGGGAGGCAGAGGGTACAGTGAGCCGAGATCACACCATTGCACTCCAGCCTCAGCAACAAGAGTGAAACTCCGTCTCAAAAACAAACAAACAAAAAAACAAAAAAAAGCAAGGAGTAGTGTTGCACACTTGCAGTCCCGGCTACTTGGGAGTCTGAAGTGGGAGGATCGCTTGAGCCCAGAAGTTTAAGGCTGCAGTGAGCTATGATTACACCACTGCATTCCAGTCTGGGCAAAAGAAAGAGACCCTGTCTGAAAAAAAAAAAAAAAAAAAAAAAAAGATATATCCCCTCTCTTATGAAAGTCATAATTAATTTTTGGTAGAACAAAAATAAAACACACACATGTATATATAAGATTCTGTTCTTTACCTTCTATTCACAAATGCATACTTTAAATGACCATAATTAATTTTATCTAATGATTTTTGGCCTCAAATAGAATATGGGTTATAAAAACATATTTTATAATTTAAAAATACACTGTGGGTTTTACCCCCGACAATACTACAAACGTTAATGCTTTACACTTACTAGACACAATTGCTTTTAGCTTTGGTCCTCTTTCCCAAATCTACAGGTCTAATTTTAAATTAACAAAATGTTAATAGCAAAATCCTTTAAAACTAAAGTTACTGGAAAATTGTAATACATCCTGTTTAATTACAAATATTTTATTTAATAAATCATATTTGTGAAATGCAGTAAACAACTCCTTTGTGTGAATGTTTTCCATGACAACTGCCTTTAACAAGATCCCCAGACAGCACCTAAACATAACCAGCTTTAGTAAAAACACTAAACTTCAGTTTCTGGAAATTTTCTAGTGCAAATAAGATCAGAACAATTTTTCTTTCCATGCTATTTTTTCTCTCTTATTTATGACTGATACGGCTAACAACTGCTGAAATTTAGCTAAATATACCAAGTCCTAATTACATAAGTCAAGCAATATAATATCATTATAATGCAGGTCAAATAACATCGGTATAGTAAGAGATATAGTCTTAATACAACTACAATTTTAATCCTGACTCTAATATAACCATGTAAAACCTTCATATAAAATGAATTATATATCTTTTGTGTTCATACCTAACAATGAATAGAAACCAGGATAGTTACTAATTGTAATCAAGCTGAAAATGATAGCTAAGATACTTTTAAAAATCTTACCTCTGTATGTCGAACTATCATGGCTTTTATTTTCACTGAGGATCCGACATAAATGCAAACTAAAATAAAACAGAAAACATATGTTTCAATTTCCACTCTAACAAGATGATTCTTATAAAGCAAATTATATCAACTGACAAATAAAAAAATTTAATCAAGCATTTATTCTGCCTTTCATATACTAACTGTACCACTGGTAACCCATAGAAGATTAGAAATATATCTGTAGTAAAAAAGAAGGAATTATGAAATTAGAATATCACCATTTTAAGATCCCTAATTAATTAAAGAATCTAGGCATCTACCAATGACTGCTCACATTATAAAAAGACACTATGAAACATTATGTGTCTCCAGATTCTGATGAAAGAAAACACCATGCAGGCCAGATATGGTGGTTCACGCCTGTAATTCCAGCAGAGTGAGACCTTATCTCACCAAAAAAAAGAAGAAGAAGAAAAGAAAGCATCATCCACCTACGAAGTTGTCTTGGGGGTGGGGAAACATGAATCAAAATCTGATCAAGCCACCTAGATCCAACTACCAATTTACAGAAAAAGACCACAGGGTAACATATTAAGAGATACCATAGAGATACAATCACCAAAATTCAAACTACGGGAAAATCTAATAGAGAGGGACCCAATCTCTTGAACAAACAAATTGCAAGGAAAAATAGAAAAATATAATAAAATACAAAGGAAGAGAGCAAAAGAGGAAAAGAACAGAAGAGCTCCAAAACAGAAAAACAATTAACAAAATGGGAGTAGTAAGTCCTTTCCTATCACTAATTACCTTAAATGTAGGATCTAACTCCACATCAAAAGACAAAGTATCTAAATTGTTTTGTTTTGTTTTGTTTTGTTTGAGATGAAGTTTAGCTCTTGTTGCTCAGACTGAGTGCAATGGCGCAATCTCAGCTCACCGCAACCTCCACCTCCCAGGTTCAAGCAATTCTCCTGCCTCAGCCTCCCAAGTAGCTGCGACTGCAAGCATGCCCTGCCACACCTAGCTGATTTTGTATTTTTAGTAGAGGGGGGGTTTCTCCGTGTTGGTCAGGCTGGTCTCAAACTCCTAACCTCACGTGATCCACTGACCTTGGCCTTCCAAAGTGCTGGAATTACAGGAATGAGCCACCGCAGCCAGCTAAACTGATTTTTTTTTTTTAAGATGAGTTGGTTTTTTAAAAAAGCTGTATGCTGTCTACAAGAAACTAGTTTTAGATTTAAGGACACAGGCTGAAAGTGAAAGGATGAATAAAGATACTCCATTCAAATGTTAGCTAAGAGAGAAAAGGAGTGGCTATGCTTATATTAGACAAATATACTTTGAAAATATAACAATTATAAATATATACACATACCACATCAGAGGACAAAAGCGTATGAATATATGTGACAGAGCTGAAGAAAGAAATAGACACCAACACAGTAATAGTAGGGAATTTCGATATACTGCTTTCCATAGAATATCCAGACAAAAGATCAATAAGGAAGCAGAAGACTTGAATAATACCACAAGCCAAATGGATTTAACAGACATATACACAACATGCCACCCAAGATAAGGAGACTACATTCTTCTCAAGCACACACAAACCTTTTTCCAGGCTCTAACATGTGATCTAACCTTCTGATCATTAGATCACAAAAAAATAACAAATTTTAAAAGATTGGAAAATATTCCAAACAGAATAGAATAAAACTAGATATCAATACCAGAAAGAAAACTGGAAAGCTCACAACTATGTGGAAATTAAACACATTCTTGAACAACCAAAAAATCAAAGAACAAAATCAAAAAGGAAATTCAAAAATATCCTGAGACAAATGAAAATGAAAACATAAATACCAAAATTTATGAGATGCAGCAAAAGCAGTTCAAAAGAGTAAATTTATAGCAATAAATGCTTTTTTTTGGACATAGTATCTCATTTTATCACCCAAGCTGTACTCCAATGGCAAAATCTTGGCTCACTGCAGCCTCAACCTTCTGGGCTCAAGTGATCCTCCCACCTCAGCCTCAGTGCCCCCCCACCCCCATACCCCAGTAGCTAGGGCCACAGGTACATGCCCCATGTCCAGCTAATTTTGTATTTGAAGAGACAGGGTTTCACCATGTTACCCAGGCTGGTCTTGAATTCCTGGGCTCAAGCAATCTGCCCACCTTAGCCCCACACAGTTCTAGGAATACAGGCGTGAGCCACTGAGCTCAGCCTATAAATGCCTTTTTTTTTTTTTTTTTTTATCTCAAACTGCCTAACTCAAAACTTCAAGGAACTAGAAAAAGAAGAACAAAGTCCAAAGTTAATAGAAGGAAGGAAATAACAAAGATTAGGGCAGAAACAACTGAAATACAGAATTAAAAAACAAAACAAAACAAAAATCGGCTGGGCCTGGTGGCTCATGCTTGTAATCCTAGCACTTTGACAGGCCAAAGCTGGCAGATTGCTTGAGCTCAGGAATTCAAGACCAACCTGGGCAACATGGCAAAACCCTGTCTCTACAAAAAAATACAAAAACTCAGCCAGGCATGGGGGCCCATGCCTGCAGTCACAGCTACTTGGGGAGCTGAGGTGGGGGGATCACTTGAGCCAAGGAGGTCGAGGCTGCAGTGAGCCAAGATAGCGCCACTGCACTCCAGCCTGGGTGACAAAGTGAGACCTTGTCTCAATTTAAAAATAATAATAAAATAAAGAAAAGAAAAAAAAATCAAAATTAAGAGTTGGTGTTTTTTTTTAAAAGACCAACAAAACTGACAAATCTTTAGCTAGACATTTAATAAAGAAAAAAATTCAAATAATATTAGAAAAAGAGAAAACATTACAACAAATTACACAGAAAAAAAAATGGAATTTAAGAGGCCACTATAACACGATACTAGAGCCAGACAAAAACATTACAAAAAAAGAAAATTACAGGTCAATGCATCTTATAAACACAGATGAAAATATCCTCAACAAACACCAGCAAACAGAATTTAACAGCACATTAAAAGGATCATTCACCGGCTGGGCACAGTGGCTCGTGCCTGTAATCCCAGCACTTTGGGAGGCCAAGGCGGGCAGATCATAATGTCAGGAGTTTGAGACCAGCCTGACCAACATGATGAAACTCCCTCTCTACTAAAAATACAAAAATTAGCCACCAGTGGTGGCACGCAACAGTAATCCCCCCTACTCATGAGGCTGAGACAGAAGAATTGCTTGAACACAGGAGGTGGAGGTTGCAGCAAGCCGAGGTTGTGCCACTGCACTGCAGCCTGGGTAACAGAGCAACACTCCATCTCAAAAAAAAATCATTCACTATGATCACAATGGATTTATCCCTGGGATGCAAAGATGATACAACATACACTAAATGTGACACATTAATAGAATGAAGGATAAAAATCACTTCATCATCTCATTAGATGTCAAAACAATTTTGACAAAATTTAATACCCTTTTATGATAAAACTCTCAACAATTAACTATAGAGGCTGAGTGCAGTGGCTCACCCCTGTAATCCCAGCACTTTGGGAGGCCAAGGCAGGAGGATCACTTAAGGTCAGGAGTTGGAGATCAGCCTGGCCAGCATGGTGAAACCCCGCCTCTACTAAAAATATAAAAATTAGCCGGGTGTGGTGGCATGTGCCTGTAATCCCACCTACTTGGAAGGCTGAGGCAGGAGAACCACTCAAACCCAGGAGGTGGAGGCTGCAGTGTTGCAGTAAGCCGAGATCTCACCACTGCACACCAGCCTGGGTGACAGGGCAAGACTCCATATCAAAAAAAATACATACTAACTATAGAAAGAATGTTCCTCAACACAAAAAAAAAAGGCCATAAATAACAAGCCCACAGCTAACATTATATTCCACAGTGAAAAGCTGAAAGTTTTTCCTGTAAGATCAGGTACATGCCGACCCTCATCACTTCTACTGAACAGAGTACTAAAAGTCCTTGCCAGAGCAATTAGGCAAAAAGAAGAAATGAAAGTCATCCAAACAAGAAAAGAAGTGAAAGATGTCTCTGCTGACAAAATGATCTTATATTTAGAAAATCCTAATGACTACACCATAAAGTTGTTAGAAATAATAAATACACTGTATCCATGAAGGTGAAAAAATATTAAAAAATAAAATAATAATAAATAGGGTAAAGTCACAGGATATAAAAATCAACACACAAAATAGGCAGTGTTTCTATATACTAACAATGAACTACCTGAAAAAATATTTTTATTCCACTTAAAATAGCTACATTATAGCATTCTAAGAATGACAAAAAGAGAAAAATAATAAAAAAAATAAAATAGCTACAAAAAATAAAATAAGATACTTAGGAAGAAATTTAACCATGGAGGTGAAAGATCTATAAACCACAAACTATGCTGATGAAAGAAACTGAAGAAGACAAAAAAATGGAAAGATATTCCATGTTCATTGATTAGTATAATTAAGATTGTTTAAATGTTCATGCTACCCAAAGAGATATAAAGACTCAATGCAATCTCTATCAAAGCACCAATGACATTATTCACAGAAACAGAAAAATCCTTAAATTTATATGGAACCAAAAAACAAACAAGCAAACAAACAAAAAACAAATAGCCAAGGCAATCTTGAACAAAAAGAAAAAAGCTAGAAGTATCACCCTATTTGACTTCAAACTAAAGTTGGCCCACTGTATCCCAAGGGGATTGGTTCCTGGACCATCTTCCACACACACCAAATTCACAGATGCTCAAAAGTCCCTTATGTACAGCATATATAGAGTCATCCCTCTGTATCTGCAGCTTCCACATCTGCAGATCCAAACACCTGTAGATAGAAAATACTTAGTCAGCCCTCCATATCCACAGCTTTTGACCTAGAGTTGGTTGAATCTGTGGATGCGGCCAACAAACTAAAGATAAGGCCAGCTAACTGTATATCACAAAGCTACGGTAATTAAAACAGCATGGCGCTGGCATAAAAACAGATGCATCAACCAATGAAACAGAATAGAGAACCCTGATATTAACACATGCATTTATAGTCAATTAATTTTCAACAAAGGGTACCAAGAACACATAAC